CCACGAATTTACGATTTACTTATCCTTACGCATATATTTGTGTCGATTGATTATGGGAAGAGTTTTTCCTGATTTTAGATATCACTCGGACATTTATACCACACTTTTTATGAATATTACTATATCTTTAAGTTTTAAGAAACGAGAAGGGACAAAAAACGATGTGCTCATAAATAGACTTCTAAGGACTTTTGTAATTCAAGAACTGAAGATACGTTGCTGCCCTTTGAGAGATAACGCTTCTCGAAGGACCCTAGTCTTTACTTTATAACAGGCTACAAATAATTTACTAATTCAATTAATTACGTATTTTAATTCGAAGTGTTGGTGAATAGTATATAATTTTTTTTATATAGATAAAATCTTAATATGATAATTATAATCAGCTGTAACTATATGTTTGCTTTCAATATTAATCGAGCAATGAAACTAGTTACTAAACGATTTTAAATTGCAGAATAATTGATTTTACAATCGTGCAAAAAATTATGCGCAAATTATTCATACATAACATTAACAATCCGGAAAAATTTACAAAAACTATAACCTTTTTTGTGGATAATTTTTTTTTTAATAAACGTGAAAAAACTAAAGCCATTTAATGTTTTATGAGAATGATATAACTAAGCGAGTTATTCTATACGACTGGCAACTAATTTAAATAAACGAAATTAACTAGTTTATATTTTTTTTTATTTACTAGAAAAATGACAAAACGCCGTTTAACAGGATTAAAAGAAAACCAGTTTATATAAAAGCTGTTTGTTCATACGTAACAAATTTTAGTAATTTGATGCGTGTAATAAAAGTTAATCGACTACTGTGAAGGTGAGAATGACGTCATCAATGACATCACTAAGGTTTTTGAGTCAATCTAACATAGTATATTATAATCAGTACAATTTTTAGCTTTTGATTTAGGTTTTTTAACCTGTTTTTAGGTTTTAACCTCCAGTTACAACACTAGACCTTAAGACTGTTAACTGTCACGTGGACAGTAACGACAGCAATGATAGGCATTCTGTTGTTTTGTAAAACAATATGCAGCAGAATAAATAAACGAAATGTTTAAAAAACATCCTCCCACTACTATCAATAAACACTGATGAATATAGATTAACTATGTAGTTGTCACTGGCTACAAAGATAGAGAAGACCGAAGAAACTACTTTTTTTTATAATATAAATAGCAAACGAGCAAGCGGCCACCAGAATCCACCGAAATCGAAAGCGACCGGTACCCATAAACATCCGCAATTGCAGATGCGTTGCCTTCTCTTAATTGACGGAGGACGAAACGCACATAAAGAGGACATTTCCCCTTCCTACGCGTCTCCTCCACCGTCAAAACCCCTTTTCCTTCCCTTCCTCTTAAGAAAAGGATGGAAATGGGTAGGGACTAAAATTAGGCCTCCGGCACCACACTTATCAGACGAAACGCGGAATTGCTTCCACTTCACGCCTGTTTTCTGTGTGGTCGTGGTATTATACAGGGCGAGCCGGCCCATTCGTGCGAAGATGTTAAAGCGGGCTTTACCACTGTCAAAAGAAATGTGGAAAAGGATATGCATAAGAAGGGTGTGAACTCAAACATGGCTGACAGAGATGTATAGAAGAGCAGCATACTGTGCCGACCTTACATAGTATAAGGGCAAATTGATGAAACAGGCTAATTGTATTCAAATTTTTGGTTGGAGATTAATCTGAAGAAGATATACCGGTAGAGAGAACTACTAAAAGACTTGCTGAAGTATAAAGACAGATAAAAGAATTTTTTAACCCTTAACATTTATAAAATGTTTTATCGTTATTGATTTATTACAACGGTCTGGTTTTCTCAAGACATTAATCTTTAACACAAAATAGATTTTGTTTTCTTAAACAAAGAATAAACTTGAAAAGAATTATTTACCCAAAGATATCGGATATAAATAAAAGTGGGAAACTGAAATACGTTAATAACACATGTATTCAAGGTTTGGATCAAATTCCTTGAGTTGCTGGCACTAATTAAGTTAGATACATAAAAGATACTAGGTGTTGCTCACGACTTCGTCCGCGTGAAATTAAAAAAATGCAATAAAATATAGCGTAAGTGTTACTCACAGATAAATTACATATCTAATGGTAAAAGAATTTTTTAAACCAGCCCAGTAGTTTTTACGTGAATCAAATACATACAAGAGACAGATCTTTCCTTTTTATTTTACTACTTTTTTATTGCTTTCGTCCGCGTGGAATTAAAAAAATATATATAAGTAACCTACGTATTCTTTCACTGTCCTTTACATCTGTGCCAAATTTCATGTAGATTCGTTCAGCAGTTTAGACTACAAACTCTAACAAACATCCATCCATTTAAACTTTCGTTTTCATTTTATTAGTAAAATATGCCGCGATAGATAAATGTGCCGCGAGAAATACACAGTACGTTTTCGTATTTTAATGAAAATGTATAAAGTCTTTGTATCGTTGGAATACGTCAAACTAACCACTTTAGGCTGAAAATGATTTTGTTTTCAAATAAGTTATTTTTAAAAATGCCAAAAGTTCACAAGTATTTGACATATTCTCTGATATCTTTAACAATATGTAATCAATGTTGTTTCAAATCAAACTATCATATTCACAGCCACTAAAGGCGCTGTCTGTAAGCACGACGAGTGGAAAATTTCACAGTACGATAAGAAACGTCGCGGAACTAATCTTAAAGGAATACAAAATCTATTTCTATTGCAATACGCAGCTACGTGTGTTGTTTATATAACATTTCATTCATTTTGGCAACTCGTCGTGATTTTTCCGAATAAAGATAAAATCACAATGATATGAATTAAATACAGAGACGATCAGTCATTTTCTCTAATATAATAAAGCGTAAACACACACTTCTTTGTTGCCTAAGATGTCAGCAATCACAGCATATTTTCGAATAACTCTTTTTTTAATAAAAAGCCCTACACTTACGTCACGCTTTAGGCTATATATTTTCACGCCGTTAAACTTAGGGGTAAATATTTTGGATAAAAACCCTAATGTGGGAAAGAGACCATAAGTTGTTGCCAACATCAAGGAAGTAAGGTTGACATGGTTTGACATCATGTCAAGTCATTTTCACATTGGCAATTGATAATTTGACAAATGTGAACAATAAAATAAAATGTTTATAATTTTATGCGGATGAAGTCGCATGGGAACAGCTAGTCTGGAATAAAAAGAAACTTTAAAAACATTTCAACCTTTAACAGTAATAGAATCCATCATCTCCCCTGCCTCTGCAGGGGAGATGACGGCGCACCGGGATTTCGTTCTCCAAAGCACTCTATCATCCGTCATCTCAGTCATCACTCCCTTCTTTATCATGTCACCTCTTACGCAATCCATCCATCTCTTTCTACGTCTACCTCTAGCGATGTACCCTTCCACATTCATAACTAACGTCCGTCTTGTATTTAATAGTAATAGAATCCGCAATGACTAATGGTTTGCTGTTACCACAATAACTATTACATTTATAAACAAATAAATTAGGTTGCAAGGAAATTGATCAATAAACAAACTTCTACTGGGAAATTAATGGCGCCACCTTGTGCTAGTTATTTAACAAATGCAAACATCATGTTTACTGTCAGCGAATCTGGACTTCCAAGAAATTTGTGACGAAAACGTGAACATACGTTCTATAGTTATTATTAGCTTTCCCATATAATTTACTGATTTCTTACCATGTTTTTTATTGTCAATTACTAGTGACACCGCGTCACATAACCCTGTTTCCCCTTTCACTCTTAAAACATGGTAAAAAGAGGGCGATGTAGATTTCTCCTATGGGCGTTAAAACAAGAACTTAACCCTTTACGACAACGTAAAGTAAAGTATTTTTAATACATCAAAAATCATATTTAGGTTACACGTGTAAATTGAATTCTAAACGGCGAGAACATGTGTCTACATTTGTACATAGCGTATCTAAACATTCTAGGACACTGACTGTCTCGTTAAGGATCGCGCATGATGATATCTGTAAACTAAATTGCATCAGATAATTTTTCCGTGCCTTATTCATTTGATAGCGGAATAACAACTGCTGGTAATCTCTCCTTAATCATATTGATGAGAACTTTGAGTGTTGTATAAATATACAATCTAATCTTATTATGACTGTAAAAATTACAAATATTGACGAATAGTGCCATCCAAACATTAAATGACTCACTTTTCTAAGTTATTCTACACAAAAGTTTCAGTATTGGCCAGACGTAACAGCATGCCGATATGCCATCTATGTGCGCTTTCGTCTACTCGTCGTTTGCCCACACACGGACATGCCCTTACTAAGTATGCATAGGCTTGTGGCGCTTTGATCACATCCGCTGGTCTCCCAGAGCTACTTAACTATACATATTCAAATATAATAATCCTCCAAGGGAAGAAGATGACATAAGAACGTATGTGACAGTAATTCATTCTATTAGGTATCTACTGAAATTCGAAGACGGTGGTTAATAACGTGAAAGAACTCAGATTTTTTTCTACAAAAAAAAATAGAATATAGCGTCGGTTCAAATCAGTAGCTGGTAACAACTGCCTCTGCAATTCGTTTACATTCATGATTATACTCAGTATTTCCATATGAGAAAACAATAATTATAAATGCCGTTACATCAATGAACTTTATGATGAAATATTTTAACTTTACAAATGGATTTACATTATTTACGTTCGTGTACAAAACCGATGACAGTTCACCTTTCAATCCTTGTTAATTATTCCACATTATTTCGGGTAAATTAGGTCTTTGTCAGCTGAAAATGGTGCGTCTTTTTTCCATTTGCGTATGAGGGAATGCACTTTTGGGGGAAAACTGTACACAATCAATTCAAAGTCGTCGCATCTTTGATGAACGGCCACCGGCCGGCAGCGGGAAGCACGGCAGTTATCAGCGGCGCCTGCGTTCGCTTATCGGCCGTCGTGGTGGGGACAGCCGATTTGCCCAAGTTATATTCTAGCTCTCGCCTCGCTCAGTCTCACACAGCTCCGTGCGCGCACCACACGACTTACGTCATTACGTCATGTGTAACGTTTGTACCCGCGATGTGGCGCCGGCGATCGAAACGCCGCCCGCCAAACCGAACCGCACGCTCGAACGCATGAAGAGGAAGCACAACATCACCACCGACCCTCATGATGAAGAACGCCAGAAGGAGGTCGCCTACCAGCCAGACCTGCTCGCAATATCCACACAGTACAGCAAAGTCGCTTACGATCTCTTCAAGCAGGGATTAGTCCGACTTCAGGAAACCAAGGCTTTCGTGTGAGTACCAGTGGAAATTTTTACTTTCTCCTTCCAGTGGAAATATCGTAAATTCTATAAATCGGTAATCAATAAAATTAACATTTAGTTATAGTTTGTTTGTACAGCTGGTTCTTTTATAACTTGTTGATTTATTTGGTTAACTTTCGTTTTATTTCAATGGAAATGACGCACGAATCGTGTTTTCTTTAATGTTGTTTTACGTAATTTTATAATTAACATTTTTCATTTACGTCGGATCTTTTCAGTCTGATAAACCCTACTGGCAATACTTTCTAAATGTGACATTTTTTTCCATATTATTCGTAATTTTTAGAGCAAGTTTGCCGTGAATTTGAATCTGGCCTCGTCCCAAAAAGTAAATTTCGCTCTTTATTTTTATCGCTTGTAAAAACTCGCTGACTTTTTATGTTAATATAAGATAAAAACTATACATATGTAAAAGAAATCTCTTCAAAATTAAGCACCTTGGACAGTAGAGGCGATTCAATCATTACTTCAAGGCTGAAGAACTAATTATTGGTATTGCACGGTACACGCTCTTTGCCACGTCTAGTCGCGTGTAAAGTCGATTCATGTTACTAACTCAATTGTTTCTATGCAATTTCATTACGCAAGTTAGAAAAAAACATAAAAATTAAACAACTGAAATTGTACTATGACAATGTATAACGATGAAATTATGAAATCCTTTGCCAAATCAGCAGTACAAAACATATATCTCAGTTTTCTCAAAGTAAGTTAAAGGGACAATTATATGGTCTTGTACAATTCAGCAATGGAAACCTACTACACCGTATAGCATTCTTTTTCAATTATAACTTGATTACCACAAGTATTTGCAATATCAAAAGGTTCTATAAATTCAAAACGTTGTACAATTCTTCAAACATTTTCATCCATAACGGATGTTAAGCTCAATTTTATCTCTACTATCAATTGATAAAATCTTAAAAATATGGTATTTTACACAAAGAATCTCGTAATTCTTTGACTAAAATATCATATTTTAAAACTTTCATAAGTTTGCTTTATTAAATTCGCAAAACCTTAACAAATATTTCGAGCAAGCTAAACCTTTAACAATAAAAGTATTAAAAAAATATACTAGTCACAGTTAGGTCGTAAAAGGGTTATAATATACAGTTTGTCCCATAAATTTATATACGAACATTTACATTCTTATTGCAATGTAACTTGCAATTAAAATTATAATTGTTACTAATGAACCTGTACTGCTGACTGTACCGTACTTTTCGAAAAAATTAATTGTTTTCGATATTATTTGCCTACTATACCACAGTTTGTATAATATAATGTTAATCACAGTTGTCTATTTACTTAAAATAGTCTGTTTAGCTTAAGTTTTTGTCCCGTTTTTATATTCGATTTCTAAGTAATTTTGTTGCAATTATGTTTTATAAATGGCAACCTTCCAATCATTTATAATGATCTAATCAAATAATTGTTGTTTGCCTTAACTAGACATTTATATTTTCACTACCTTGCCTTGCGACGACTACGATTAACCTAAAAGTTTGCGCTTGAATTTAATTAATAACTATTTTTTTGTTCGTGATATTGTCTACGCGGAATTAAAAAAAGATAGATGTATCCTTCTAGTCTATGTGCCAAATTTATCTGACATCACTTAAGATACTTTAGAGATATAATAACAAACATCTATCCATCCAAACTGTCGCATTTATTATATTTGCTATCCCCCGTATTTGCCGACGTTATTTTTGTTGTCTCGTCAATAGCCTAATGGTTAATCCGATCACGTGGTCGTGGGTTCGAATTTTAAATATGCTTCGATTTTATTCAAAAGAAATAAGTACTTGATTTAAATTGTTTCCCATTTGATATGGCTATTTCACGATCTCATCCGTGACTATAACGAATTGAAGTACAAGTTCAAAGCCACTATTAGACAAATCGTTATGAATAATTTATTATTTAAAAGCCTACCAGAAATATTACATAACGGTTCGTTTGAATACCAAATGATTATTAGAAAAAGGCATTATTTAGAGATAATTTTACAATTTTAAAACAGTTTAAAAATAAATTTTGACAATGACACTTGCAAATGTTGCATTTGATACGTTATATTTCAGTACGAAATATTAATTCATTTTGTATACCAAAGTGTGACTCCAACGACATTTTCTCGAACTGCACATAAGTACATGGCTTTTTGAAGAATTACTAGTTAATATTTTTTAGTATCCATAACGTCATATCTAGTAGGAAATGTGAACAATTTATCTATGTACGCTTGTAGTCCATGTTCCGTGTCCAGCTACGCGAGTATCACAAATCTTGTATCGGGAAGTGATACTGCCAGACTGATATTTATGGTCACCCGCTCGCCGACAGTTTAAGTATCGGATCGGTTTATATGTAAAATCGATACACGTTTTTTTCAAACTGTATTTTATATGCATACCGCAAAAAATTAATGTAAATGTACAAAAATATATTAACAACTAGACGTAACGAAATAGGTCATATAAAATTTGAATATCCTTTTTAATTATAAATCCTTTTAAAGCAACTAAAGTACAGTATCTTTGACCTTTCAGATTAATTTAACAAATCCATAGATCAATATCTCTTTAGCGGTCGTGTCGGTAGTCGAGGTCGCGTCTCCATTGTACCGCGGCACGATGGATTGTAACTCAATAGTATCCGTCTCATTATAACTGGACACTAAAGCAGTTAGTGCTACAGTTATAAAACAAAATACTACATAATAAGGTCACTGCAGGTTATTTAAGTACAGAATATTACTCTCATTATAACCATCGATATATTTTAAGTATCAGTATAAACAATTGTTTTTACCTTGAAGTTATGTAAACTTGTGCAATTGCTGCCAAATTTCTTTTTCGTATATGTTTCTGAAATTAGCGGAAACCAATCATGTACTATTACATCATATTGTGATGTATTTTATTAACGTAAAGAAACATAATAATTACTTTATAAAACATCGTTTGATTGCGTGTTGTTAATTATAACTGTAACATACAAGTACTTTATTATTACTTATTTTCACAGTAGAAAATCTTTTATAAAAATGTTGCCATCTCGCTCTTTTATCTTTGAAATAATTCTGGAATTACACAGAATTAATATTGTGCAATTTCACTGGAATTACATCCAAGTATCTGTACATCTTTAACAATAAGAAAATAGTTATAATCAATTGCTTTGATAACTAACGAAGTAAAAACCCACTTCACAGATATAAAACTGATTAAATTACTCTATTAAAAGTGAAATTAAGTGGTCTGATTCATTTTCATTGTGTCTTGTAAAAGTATTGTTCAATGTATGCATGTTTTCCAATTTTCCTGTTGACGCAAATAAGTTCAATAGCTTAAAGATCTCAAATCTCACGCAACAAACATCCAAAATCGCAAATACGTCATCTTAACATCGATTGTTACCAAGATAGTGTCAAAAGATTTCTATATCGCAGACAATATGCTGATAAAATTTCCTGCTATACGTTATTTGAGAACAAACGAAATGAGATAAAAGAAAAATCTTTTCTTTTTTTCAAGAGAATAAATTCTTAAAAGATTCCTTACTTAAATTAACATGGAGAAAGGCTCGATTGTCGTTGCATTGTTTAATCTGTGAATGCAAAGGATGTCTGCAATAAAAGCAACAAGTAAGTCATTCTACGTCACAGAACCTCAAATAAGATCAACTGTGGCAACAGATATGCTTTCGTACTTTTCTTTCTTTGTTTTTTCTTTCTGTTTATTTGAGTGGGTGTAACGTAGGCGTTATAGGACACTACCGAAAGTGTTACATAATTTTTGAATATGTCCGTTTTTTTATCTACAACGGCGCTTTTTATCTGCGGGGTGACCGCCACTCGGATACCGGAACATGGGGTTGATATCAAAGGTCGTTGAGTAAACGCAATACTTTTACTTCCTTAGTAACAAACCGTGAATTAAATGAGTGTTTCAGCTTTGTTGCTAATAATCTTTATATCTCACTTTCCTGAAAGAAAAAAAAATACCAGAAAACTAGAATAAGAGTCTCTAAGTGAGAAAAGAGATTCTCCAATCGGTAAACCATTTAGTATTATTGCAGTTAAATTTATCATAACACAGGGTGTTTTCCTATGCCAAAAACCCGTCATTACAGATCCCATGAGATACGTAGTTTTGTATTATTGAAGCAAGCAGGGCAATTTTACCTTCAAAGCATTTATTTCAGTCGTAGGCTTTCTGCCAATACTTTTGCGTCATGTAAGTTCAACATCTCCCTGTATCACGACAGTTGACTGATAAATATCAGCATTTCAGCTATTTCCGTCTACAAACACTCTAAAGTAGAACAATAACGGCCGAATACTGCAACGAATCTTAAACACTATGCTTTGTTAGCGCTGCTTACAATTTTACTGACGTATTTTAATAGAATTTGGAGTTTAAGTGTAGCCTTATCTATTTATTTAAATGTCGTTTCAGTATACGGCTGTTTTTGTCGCTTTTGAATTATATTTTTAGGTTATTTTTGCTACTTTTATACGGCTATGAAATCAAAGAGATCGAACGATAATAGTTAAAATCACAAAAACATCCGCACATTTTCCATAGATGTTAGAAAAACAAACAGCCAAATCAATATGTACAGTTTACGATGTAGTTTTTATTCATTTAGTTTCGTCTGAGTATTTCCGGTTATGGGAGTAACTAATATACAAATTTATGATATTTTGTCATATATCCATTTTGTTTTATAAACACGTTTATGTTGGTCTCAACCAATTCTTATTTTAAAATTACTTCTTACCGTGAAAAATCATGTAATTGCTTTCATTACGCGTAATAAAAGATAAAAAGAGTTGATTTTAATTATCAACTTAATTATAACATGTGTATTTATTTGGCAAATAATATGATAATTATTAAAATACGATCATGCCGCTTATTTTTTTAATAAGACTGGCATGGGTAACTTTTGGCCTT